TAGTTTGAAAAAAAATCAAAAGAAAAAGATGAAGATACAGGTGAGCAAGATAGATCACAGTTTAAGCTGTGAAATTATTCTATTTGGTCACATCTATTTATTTATTTATTTGAAAGATAAAATCCAATTCACTATTCCACACAGTATGGAAGCACTAAGGATGAGATGCACATTATTAGCTATAAAGATACCTGTTGCTGAAATCTAGCCCTTCCCAAACAGATGGGAAAGTCTGGTCTCTGCCTATTCCCCAGGCTCAGTCACCACAGTGCTGGCTGGCAAGTACCTGATGCCTCAAAGAGCATCAGTTCACGAAGCACACTTGGCATCCTGGGCTGCTGGAAACCATCTACACCACAAGCTAGCTTCACGCTGGTCAACTGTTGTGTGACTTATCTTTTTGCTTTGCTGTTAACTGCTGTTCACATTTTTAAACAGATTCAGATGCCATTTGCACATTGCCAAATGGCCAAGTTTAAAGGATGCCTGTAGTCACTGCTCTACTTTAGAGTCCAAAGTACTTCATTAACCATGCTCATAACTTTCTGGAACATCCTTCCAGCAGTGACAGATTCTCCCATACGCGTTTATTTTTATTTTTTCCCTGCAAAATTTGAACTCAGTCCTTAAAGTTTGATTATTATTTTTTTAAATTACTATTTTTCTTTTAAGTCCCGAGGAACAAATTACTGACAACACAAATAACTAAAATCAAAAAGCCTGTGCCCCCTCAAAACTGTCACGGAGCCTAGTAGCCTTCCTTAAGTCGCAATCTGGCTTGTTTCCCCCTCTTCTGAGAAGCAGCAACATGTCTTTGTAGGAAAGAGCTATTACTCGTCTCTTCCTCGGTGAGCTGATGGCTCTGCAATTCAGCTCTTTATGTTCCCATCCTGCAGCCAGCAAGGAGTCCCAAGAGTCTCTTTTAATACTACTATTTCCTACGTGAATGTCCCCATCTTTAAATAAATAAATTTGGTTCATTTCCCCCTAATTATATTAGTTTGTAATTTCCAAGTGAAATACTGTTTTGCCCTTCCCTTCTTCCCCTCTCCCCCCAGTTGTGCCAAATCACTTTTTCCTCTGTCCTGATGGGTAACTACGATATTCTTCAATTTATAAGAAACAAAACAAAACAGAAAATTAAAGTTAGCATATGCTTGTGCTCTTTCCAGATTAATAATGAAGACAGAGTGGAACTGTTCCCAGCATCAAGCTCCTGGCACCATATGCTTTGCTGTCTACCTCCACATTGCTACGTATGCTTTTTTTTTTAATATATGTTCTTTAAACAGTATTTATATTTTCCTCCCTGTAAGTTCGAGCTTTTATTTTAGCTACTGTGAATTCATGATAGAATCAAATGGTACACAGACACGCAAAGCCTGTATTATCTCTCTTCTAATTTCTTCCAGACAGGACATATTTTTCTAATTTGTCTCAAGTTTGAAGAGTATCACTGAAATAGTCTTCAATTTTTCAGTGCAACAGCATGAATTTCACACAAAGAAACAAAACATGTACGAGATTCAGTTACCACCAGAAACCTGGTTCAAGCTCCTGAGAAAAATCCAGACTTGTCCTTACTAATACTCATTCAATTGTAAAATTAAACAAGGAGAATGAAGACTAATCAACTGATTTATTGTCAGCACTTTATCCTCAGCTTTTGTCAAAGGACAGTGATGCAACAAACTGAAATAAACCTCAAGTTTTAATAGCGAACAGATCAAAATTATATATGGTAGCTTAACATTAACAAGCTTAAAATTATATGGTAGCTGACTGAAATCAGCTTCTGTAACATGAAGAAGAGATGGTGTTGGGTGTGGGCTGAACCTAACAGCAGCCTTCCATCATCAAAGAGGAGGTTACCCAGAAGAATGAGGTAGATCCTTCACTGAGGTCTGCGGCTGAAGGTGGAAATGCAGTGGTCATAAATTGAAACAAGGGAGGCTCTAACTTGATTTAAGGAAAAGATTGTTCAGTATGAGGGGAATTAAGCACTAGAAGAGGTTGTTCAGGGCAGGCTTCAGGATCCCTGAATCAGGTTCTTGGAGATTTTCAAGGAACACCTAGACAAAGCCCTGGGTAACCTGGTCTAAATTCAATGTTGATGTGGCATTGAGAAGATAGTTGGATTAGTACCTCATTAAACCTCTTCCAAGTAGAATGATTTTACAATTCTAACCTGACACTCTTTTTAAGAAAGCTCCAAGCTAGTAATTAAAATCAAAACAAGAAACAAAAAAAACGCACAACAAAACCCACTATTGGGATAACCATCTTCAATTTTGGCCTACATAAAGTCTCTCCACTTAGTTAGAATTAACATTACATTATCAACCATTGGTATCAAGTTTTGGTGCTTGTATACTGTTGAATAATTAATACTCTACTGAATTGGTTATTACTGTTTTAATGATTATTTGAATTTAATGTTTACTCCACGAGATACAAAATACTGATTTCTTTCCTCTATGGTGGTACATAATTTCTAAAGCAACATGCAAGTAACACACTCATCTTTTCATCCTTTAAAAGTAAACATAGTAAGAATAATGATATTTTTCTATTTAATAGAGCAGATAACTAAATTTTAAGTCCATTTATTTCCTTTCTTTCTTTTTGAGAGAAAGAAAATTAAAATTTTCCTTAATATAAATGGCCTATCTAACCACATGACTCGTATGCTTCTATTTTTTTTTTTGACCAGCACAGGTACAGAAGTAAAACTAATCAAACACATTCATTTACCTTTAATTTCAGAGAGATTTACAGACTAATCCCAAAATCCTCATTAACCAGTCTTTGCAGAAGCAAATTTCTTGAAATGAAATTGACTAGTTGCATAAGAAAGGTCTACCAACATGAGAAAGGAAGACCAAGAGACCAAGTACTTCCCAACTCAAATGTTTCACCTTCACAAGTACATTTATTGTATCATGTGATGATACAACAGGAAAGAACTTCTGTTGATTTTGTTCTTATAATTAAGCCATGGGCAAAGTGGAACAAACTGCATGGTTTATTTCTTCTTACTTTTTAGTTTGTTTTAAAACAACCCAATTATATTACACAACATAAAACACTAAAGCTACTCCGATGCTCTGTGCAGTTGCAAGCACTCACAGCACTAAGGTGACTTGCTCAGTGGGATTAGAGTGGCAAATGAAGATATTAAGAAACCTAAAACATCTTTGTGTCATAACAAGCGCTTCTTCTCTTGATGTTTCTTTGCCCTATTGACAAAAATAATTTCAGCAGTAATCAATATTTACATTTTCTCACATGCACAGAGAAAAAAAACAACAACACAAGATACGTAAAAGATGCTTAAGTTTCTCTAAGAACATTTACCTCCTTAAGTATTTACACAAGTGATTTACTACTGGAACATAATGTACGTAGATGCAGGTACCTCAAAACTCAGACCACCACATAAGCTCAGCTGCTTCTCTACCTATGTTCTAAGTAAAAACTTCTTTGGATTCCTACAGGTTTTCAGCATCTGGGGCTATAATATGGGCTCTGTGGATACAGGAGTATCTAATGATCTAAGTTGTAATTTATATTTATCCTTAACTAGAGTAGAGTCTTCTAAAATGGAAGACTGCAAACATGTTTTAGCATATTTACCATTTAACTATTTATTCCCTTATAAAGTACTGAGGTGTTTTATACATTCCATGTTAATGGAAATTAAAATTGCTTTGAACACGTCAAGTATGACAAAATATTATGGTAGTACTCTAAGTTAATCTCGACCTTTTCTCTGTCTAGCTTCTGCCCATGTTGTGCCAGCAACAACGCTGAAAGCAAGAATCCAACATAGTTTTCCTAAATCAAGTAGAGTTTTTTTTCTGTCAGAACTGTGCGACCCACTTCACCATAAGCTACTATGGTAGTGAAACAGGGTATGAACTATGAAATGCTGATATCTGACCAAAAGGTCTGGATCTCTCAGCTAGCTACTATACCATGGACTTTGTAACACCTGTCTTATCTGTGTTGCCTTTAAGGTTTGCTCCTTAGAGATAAAATACTTTAATTAAGGATTTGCAGTCCTGTACATTTAGTTGCCAAAAGACTACTTAAAAAAAAAAAAAGCTTTATTCTTTTAATCCTTTCAAACAACAAGTAGTTCAGAAGTAACAACTAGAAATTATAAAACAAAACATTCATGAAAGGATGTCAATACTCTCAGCTCCCTGGCAAGCATGAATATATCCATCCGTAGCACATACCACCTCCTGAAACTTTCTGTGATCTGTTCCCATGATCAGACTATGCTTGCATTGTAGTCAAGCAATTATAAACAGAATTAAAAAGCCCTTTACTCAGGGAAAAATACACTATGATCCTAGAGGAAGGCAATACATCGCTAGTTGTAACTGCAGAAAGGTTTACTGTGTCTTTGTTTAAAGTATAGCTGCTGGGGTTGTATTGCATCAAACACAATAGTCATTCACGCTGGATGCCAAAAACAAGTGTGTCAGTTTCAATGTTAAACATTACAGCACATAGTTATTTATGTCGGCAGAAATGTTTTTCTCTTTTTTTTTTTTTTTAGACGGGACCATGCAACCCCAGAATCATCATTACTTGCTCTACAGACATATTCTTTCTATTCAGATAAAACTGTGACCTATGTATCCAGACTGAGCACATTCTTTAACAGGAGTTACGCTAAACTCCTAGTACTTTGCAAAAACAAAAGCAGACGATGTAATTACTCTTAAGTGAACACTGTGTTGTAAAATGACTATCATACACTATTAGGTTTGCACTCAGAATGGGCCCTCAGATAGACTGGTGTTGGGTAGATACAAGTGTGACAAATACCAATAAATACTGCAGGGAAGTAAAGACATCCATAGCAATATATTAAGATCTAAAATTTAATATATTAAAATATATTAAAAAGAACTTTCATCTGTTGGTCTAAATGAAAGCTTTGCTTTTTTCAGCTGATATCAATGCCTACAATGAGTGGAATTTACCTTTCATTCTCAAAAATGACATCAGATTTTTCACCCTTTTTGGTCATCCTGTGGTCTTCGTAACTGATGTCAAAGTAGCAGGCCTGCATGGTGAAGCTCTCTCTAAGACAGAGGGGAAAAGGCTGTCACAGGTCTCTCATACGTGGCCTGGGGAATCAAGTCTGTAGATCAGAAGGCAGCTCAGAAACCAGATCCAGTCAAGCTTTACACATTTTTCCCATGCATTCATTACTCCAAAGAAGCATGCTGCAATATCACACCTGGAACTAACCACCTATTCTAGGTTCCTAATACTAGTTTGCTACTTAGAAAGCAGCTGTGATCCTTGATGTCAAAAACAGTGGTCTTCATACATTAACCAGCAAGCGCGCATACAATGTAAGACTGGTGCTGTGAATGCCCATCAGCTAGAGTGGTAGAGCACAGAGCTGTATCTTGAAGTCCACACAATGCTGGCAATTCCTGTCAAGAGACATTATGATCTGTTATGACAGAAGTCTACCCACCAACAGTAAAGATAAGCTCTTTTAAAAGATACACCAAAAATTATTTCACCAAAATAAGCCATAGCCCGTACAAAAACAACCAGATGGGGAAAGGACACAACTTACATTTCCATAACGACTAACTGGAAATGCTTTGTAAACACAGCATTGACTGCATATGCAATATATCATTGTTACTACAGTAGCATCCCTAAATAGCACCAATGGGATCTAAGCCTTGTTATAAGATGCACTCTATAAATGTATATGCGAAGACATAAACCATACTTTAAAAAAAACCTTTCACCTATTACAGAATATCATCTACCCCAATTGACTACAACACAAGGAAAGAGAACAGATGGTTAGGATGGCAACTGTAAACAAATTTTACAGATAGCTAAACCGCTCCTCATTATATCGGTTTTGAGATCTTCTGTTACGCCTCCACAATTTACAGTATGTAGCCCCCTTAACTGCCCTGTAAAAAAGTCTATAGACTCCATGATTCACATCAGACACCTTCGCTATCAAGCAGTTTCTCTGTGCTCCCTCTGTTCTTTCAGAGGGCATGGGAAAAGGCTTACCTTAGCTACCACATGAATTAGGAAAAGACCAAACAAAACCACAAATTAAGTAAAATTTACGGTAGTGGTAACAATTACTTTTCTCTGATGTCTTGCTTTAACGTAGCCTCCTTGCACAGTGGTACCTGAGTGAGTCTCGCCTGGTATCTCAGACAGCCTATGTGATTGTGCCTCAAGTCTCTCTCCTGTAACAGGGTAAGGGTAGCAGAAGAGCACCTGAACGTTGTCTCCTCATTTCCATGTCACTGCTCCTTATCCTTTTTCTGGAACTTTGAGGAACAATTAGTGGTCAGTTATGAAAAACTATTAGAACTATTAGCATTTTCATCGTTTCTCTTTACCAAGGAAAACCTAAAAGGTTAATTACTACCTTCTAAAGGAAATGGATCTTTTGTTACCTACAAAGTACATTTCTCGGTGATGATCACCAGCAAAAAGTTGAAAAGCACTATTCTAATTTAAGAGCTCAAGTCCTATCTTTCAGAAAACTAAATATGTAAGAACTCCATCATACGTCATTAACATTATTCCATAAAAGTAATCTACTTTATAAACAAGAACCAGGTGTATGCCCAAGCCCAAATAGGACAGGTACAACGTCAAGACTGTACTACCAGGCACCTAGCAAAAACACTGACAGGAGCTATGACATGCACAGAGAAAACAGAGATGAGTGGAAGCAAAAAGCACTATTTTTACAAATAGGATATAAATAAAGACCAGTGAAAGGGGGAGGTTGATCTCAGCGTTAACTTTTAGCTATTGGCAATGTCAGTGCATGCAAGGGCTAGTCCTTGCTAATCATGTAGGGAGTGTAATTTCCACATTGGTACTCACTTACGCAAAAGGTCTAGACCATAATTTCAAACAAAGTCTACCAAAACTCATTATTTATACAGAAATTAAATACCTCTGTAGACATGTCCTCCCCATACCCCCCATCACTACAGCTGTGTTTGCCTTCAAGGAGAGGAATAACATTAAAATGAAGAGGTTTGCTAAAAAGAGGATAAGAAGAGCAACTAACAGCTTCTGTACTCTTCCAAAGTTTAACACTGTTTAGGACATTATACTGAAGTCTAATGCAAACTAATTTAAAATAAAAAATAAATAAACAGCAGGGAAAGGTCAGAATCGGAGGTTAAGAAAGTCTTCAGAAAACCTGGAATTGTTTAAGCAAGGTAAAGAAAATATCATGAACTAACATGTTAAACACAGAAAATGTGGCAGATCAAAACAGTGGCCAAAACAGTAGCTCAAGAACAATTTTCAAAGAGGTATAAAAGCCAGTGATAAATCCTTTTTCAAATATATATCAAGAGTCAAAAACAATCCTGAGAGCAGGTGTCCAAAATGCAGTACAAAAAGAACATTCCTAAAGATGAAGGTGACAGCACAGAAACTAGACATTCATTATTTCCATGTTCAGTGTGGGAAAGTTCAACAAGCTCTTTGTAGGGACCTCACTGACAAAGCTGTCTCAAATTCAATGCCGCAGGAAATGTTAATTAAAAAAAAAAAAAAAAGGAGCGTTGCATGGGAACCACAGGCCTGTAAAACCTTAGCCAAATTTTAGAATCTATTCTAAAAAACTGAATCAATGAACACATGCAACCACACAAACCACTGAAATCTTGTGAAGATGTGAAGGAGCACACTATTTTCCAGAAAAGCAAAGTCTTGGATTTTAATGAAGTTCTAAGAAAGTGTCACCTTAGTACTCCGAAACATCCATGAAATCAACATGAATTTGAACAATTAGGAAAATCGTTTAAGACAAAGATGGCTTTATCATTTTCTTAACATATATGCCTGTAACTTGAATTTTATCCATAATTCTTATCTTCTTCTCACAGAAGCAATGAAGTAAAGCTCACAACAAAAAAAAAAAGGAAGAGAAGCCTGTCACAGAGGACTAAAACTTATAAAATGGCCTCCACAGTAGATGCTACTAAATACCTGGGGAATGCCTCAACCTGGAAAAAAAAACTGAGTTACAGGATTTGCAGTAGACAACTATACCATGATGAGTGGCATGAAAAAGGGGAATATGGATATACTGTCTACAATTGCTTCCAGTATGAGAACTAAGGAGCACCTAATGAAACCACCAAGTAGAAGTTTCCACAGAAATCTTCACACACAGTACATATATGCTCAGAAACATGCCACATGATGGGATGCTGAAGCTCACTTGTATTCAAAGGGAAACTAGATAAATGCAGACTCAGAATTGCTATTCCAATGTTACTTTGCTTTCTCTTTCAGAAGGATACAAGTGGATGGACCACATTAAAAATCACAGGTAGAAGTCAACAGCAATCTGAGAGAAAGAAAATAACAAACTCTCCTGGATGCATAACAGCAGTATTAAAGAGAGAAAGCATAATGTAGACAGCGGACATGTATCTGCTTTAACAGCATGCTTTGGGTACTGCTATTTCACGGTAGTTTTTCTTACAATTTCAGCTGCCCTTGTATGCTATGATAAAAGACAAATCATGCAGTATGTGCACATTTGAATATGCATCTGAAACCTAATAAAGGCAATCTTTATTAAAGGAAAAAAAAAAAGGATGCATAAAAGATCTGTAACAGAAAACAATGAGGGAAGTTAGCATAATATTTAATTGCACACTTTTAAAGTGAAGTTTGATTAGCAGTCTCCTGACTTAAAAAGGTTCTCTAAATTGACTTCCCTCTCAGGTCTTACGTGGCAGCTGATTTTAATAGCATCGGCATTAGTAAATGTAAAGCCTCGTACAGCACGATGCTGCTCTTCCTTGGCTGCAGTTGTAAGTTCTGCCAGTCCAAATGAATGCCTGCAAGATGACATTTATAAAAGCATACTCGTTACCTGGTTACTTGCATTCTGTGGAACAGTGATGACAGTAATTGTCTAAGGATTTTCACCGTAATTTTACTTACACAATTGCTTGCCAACACTTCAGGCAATTCAGTCTTACTCTTCTGACCACGAAGCTGGGTCTCAGCCCCCTCCTTTATCTTCTTTATCTCCTTTATCCAACACCATTTGCTATTCCTTAACTTACTGTGGGAACACACAATCTTAGTGGACAGCATATTTCCTAACATCTAGAACCTAGTGTTTTTTTCAACTGCCTTCTCTTCACCAATGGTTTGAAGTGGACATCAAAAATTTCCAGAAACTTATCTAAAGTGAGGTAAGCCTGGGAAAAGAACAGACTCTGGAAGGAAGTTGTATGAAAATATTCTATTCTCCTTTCACTGAGGGTCTAGTCTGAAGAACATATATTCTAAACAAACTTCAGAAATAGGCACAGCAAATACAGCTTAAGTACCATGATGCACATCAGCAAATCCTTCTGTAGAGAAACAGGGTTAATACCTCAAGAATAGCACCCTCCATACAAGCTTATGCTGTTTTCAGGACTGCTCCTTCCTTTTTGTCTTTGTATCAACAGCAACGTGCCTGTAAGTGTAAAAAAAACTGCAAAGACCGCCTCTCCATCTAGCTGTACACATACCATTAGTACATCCATCTGTACGAAATCCTTAAAAACTGCTGTATGGTCAAGACTTCTCTCAGAAGGATTTTACATCTTTCTTGTAAGAGGATACTGTAATAGTCTCTTTTCAATGTATTATAAGCTTCAGGATACAGAGTTTGCAAAAAAGATTTAAAATAACTTCTTGCAAGACTCCTACGAGCGTTGCTTTAGGAAGTTATGAAAGTTATCCTTAAACTGCAACTGCAAAAGGTACAGCTTATGAATATTGATGTTTAGTATCTATAAGCATACTTAAGAGGAAAAGCAAAGGAATTGCTAATGGTGCAAACCACTGTGGATATGCAGATAATATTCCATCAGACCCCTCACATCAGCTTACCTCTTTAGGATACCGCTCCAGCGAGAGATGCTAAATCCATTGTCTTGACATAGAGCTTCTTCTTCAGTTTTGCTTAATCTATTCAGAAGGCTTGGCATTCCTCATCTTTTCCTTACATGTGTGCATGCACACACAAATGAGGGAAGGAAAAGAACTA